AAGGGAACAAAAGAGCGATAAGCAGCTAATGCAAGTGGCAGCACTACCTAAATTTCACTGGAATCAACGTTTACAGAATGATCCAGTACGGAAATAAGCAGAAGAGCATCAAATTTAGCAAATTCCCCGAAAACCGCTGCGATTGAATTTCATTAATCAAAAGCGAATAAAAGGAGAACTAATGGCATGTAAATGAAGCAACAAAGTAAGAATTATTGAAGGCGATGAAGAGTATTAAAAGCCTATACTTACCTTGAATACTTCATCCTTTAGTTTCTTGCACTCAGAGAGCAAGAGATGTAGTTGATTGGCAGCTTTCAAGATGGTCTGTTCTACCAAAGCTTGATCGAGCACAAGCGTTTCCAGATGATTCTGAAAACATTCCTCATTGCTCTGCTCGTCTATCATAACTACCAAATAATTGGGGTGATACCTGACCGTCTGCCTGTTTTTCAATTGTTTTCAAACTAGTCATCGTCTCCGAATATTGCGCATCATTAAGGGTGTCCCAGAAACATGATCATAAGATGAATGATAGATGAGACTTATCTGGGATTGAAGTACTCACATTTTGCAACTCGTTGATCATTCCAGTAGTGGCATCTCTTTTCAAGAATGGGTGATCCGCGATAAAATGCAGCCTTAATTTTAAGGAAAACTTTCAGGGAACAAAAACAATAAAGCAAAATTATAATTAATTAACAGCGAGTAAGTCGTATTGTTTGGCACAATTTTCAAATACGCAGCTGCAGCGTTATTGACGACAACCGCAGGTGTGAATTTATGTGGTGATACTTGCGGGACATCTGAAACATTCGGTAGCAACCGACTGCACTGAGAAAACCTTGGGTTTACTCACCCATACCGCCATTCTGGAACCGTACTATTTACTGGAACCGTATCTTCCTGGACAGGCGGTTTCTTCTCGATTTGCCTCTTATCGCCTGGAAAGACGACTGTGGTATGCAAACTACAAATGCAGAGGAAAACAGAAACCCGCAAATCTTCTTCCATGTTCGCATTTCCTATACCAATAACAAAACTTCTGAAGGCTTCAGCAACCTGCAATTTTATCTGCAAAGATTCAAAGCAAAACAAAAAAAACATCTGGAAAAGCAATATCCACAAAAAAACATTTGAACCAGCATACGTACACGGTCCTGGCAATCTGCTTCCATCCCATCATCCAGGTCTGGAACCGCGTCTGATATCCCAGAACTTCAGTTAAAATGGGACTGGCTTACAAGAATGCAAAGTTCCGATTTTCAAAACTAGGGGCTCGGTTTTCCAAATAACAAACGCACATAT